GAGAGAGAGAGAGAGAGAGAGAGAGAGAGAGAGAGAGAGGAGAGTGATGCATAGATTACAGCAATGCGCCAGTGCTGATGCCCATGCACAGAGAGAGGGAGAGAGAGCATGCAAATTTGCATCCGCCTTCATTCACAGCCAACTTCAAGGGCATCATGCCAGTTGCTGACATGGCGATGCACGCTGACGTGCCAATGTGTCCATCCATAGAGAGACGGAGAGAGAGCACACAAACGCATAACCTATCAGCTTCTGCAGCCGGCCACCTTCAAGAATGCCCATCCATAGGAGAGGGAGAGAGAGCACACAAACGCATAACCTATCAGCTTCTGCAGCCGGCCACCTTCAAGAAGCGTGCCGAGAGAGAGAGAGAGAGAGAGAGAGAGAGAGAGAGAGAGAGAGAGAGAGAGAGAGAGAGAGAGAGAGAGAAGCCTCTCTGAATGGAGTTTACAAACAGTTCTTCGTACTGCTAACATTGACATTGGCATGATACGATAGAGTTGTGCTGTTTCTTTTCTTGCAGTTTATTGATAGTAGCTTGAGTCATGTAGTTGCCATTGTTGGACATCTGTCATTCGGGACACACACCCCAAAACCTGCCCCGAAATCGCAGCCCCCAGGATGACCCTGTCACAGCACAAAAGCTTGCACAGTACGAGTGACATGCTAACCATCCGTCTTAACGATGGCAGTGATCATCCCTTGCAGATGTTGCCCGCACAGAACAAGCAGTGCAGAACTGGCCCTATGGCTGCGATTTCTGTGAAATTTTCTACTATAGTCTAATGCATTTGTGATGCAATCTTGTGCAACCGTTCACTGAGGAAGCCGAGAAGCCGAGACGAAAACAAGACACTGAAAGCAAAGAAAGACGAACATCCAAACACGTAGCCTTGCACCAACTGGCATGGTCGGCAGCTGAATGCATCGAAGCAGTCCAACACGCACATCAAGGACACTAATAATGGAATACTGCCAATGCAGCTGAATTTTACTTTGGGCACGTCCATTTACCACTGTAGCAGAATCACAACAAATCACCAGCAGTTCCTCCTCAAACTTTTCCCGAAATGCCCGATGATATGAAATTTACAGAACGGACACTTCAACCAAAAGGTGTCAACATGAGATCAGCAAGCCACCCCGCCATTACAATCCACAAGTCTCTTACCCTGCTGATTTGGTCACATTGGGCCTCTAGACGCCGAGTAGCGCACCGGAAAACGGTACCCGCTGATTTGGTCACATCTGTCAGAGCATCAAGAAATAGTGTGTGACATGAGATAGCAGCACCTTTACCACTCAGTTGCTTATCCACGTATCCATGTATCCACGTAGCCTTCGAGAGCGAGTCTATACAAATGGGCAGAAATCACAGAAAGAAGAAATAACCCTTCCCAGTTTAATATGCACCTAAATGTCAGTCATAGAAGGATAGGGAGGACAAGGGGGGAGGTCAATACACGACATCTCAGCAAACCCACTGTGCGCTCCACTCAATAAACGAGGAATGCTGCCAAGCGGGCACGGCTCCTTAACTAATAAATGGTGTTTTAGGTTTCAATGGTGGCATGCCCCTACACCATGAAGGGGTTGTTTGCCGTCCCCTATGATACGCATCCTCCTCCCCTGTGTTTCAGACCTTCAGGTGAGATCCGCAACATCAGCAAGAATAGGCACACGACCATGATCACGGGATCGATGTCCCGACGACGCCGACCCATCATGACAGCAACTACCGGCAGGAGCACCCTGGTAAGCAACCGGTGCTGCACTCAAGGATTCACAGCTGCAGTGCAACATATAAGTTTTTCCCCAGCATGCCTGAGAATGAACCAGTCCCTTTTTCCACATCACCTAGCGCTTCCCACAATCTTCATCACCGAAACATTAGTAAACCCTGGACCTTTCGTGCCAGGACATGCTCATGGTCAGGCTTCACTGCACCAAGCCAACTTACACACACATCCAACAGTTATCATCTTCAATTCAGCGGCTGATACTGAATACCATATGATAAAGCACCACCAGTTAGCATCTGGTGATGATCACAAACCCGTAATCCAGTAAGGGCCGTAATCCAGTAAGGGCTGCCTTCAGCCGCAACACAACTTTCATCATCAACTAGTCAGCGTATCTTGGAACAATGGAAGGATAACGGAGTTGACGCAAACCTTTGCAAAGCAGGCATACTGTGCGGAGGTCACATTTCCGAATACAGAAAGAATGTGAGGTAATCCACTACCGTGTCTAATAATATACCCGAATGCTATCCTCTGAGTGCAAGTATGACATAGTTTTTGATGAACACTTTCTGCAAGAGATCAGCAATACTTTGAAAAAAAATCCACACTACACAGCAGATCGCAGACTGGTATTCCGCTTCAGGAGTACTGCTGCAATGAACATGCCTGATTCCCCTTCCAATACGCATGGAAGACAATAGAACAAAGACGAGCCTCGCCAGTGAGGCACTGGTACACATTCACTTCCCAAGTCTTCGTCATGGTGCAACACCGGTGACCTTCACTGGATTACGCAGCACTGGTTGGTCTTCTTCGCTTGCTTGTAGAATACCTGAAATGCAAGCAGGAGAGGAGAAAAACATCCGTCGTACCTATGCTCCTGTTAGCGGAATGGTGGACACCCGTTCACTGTTGAGATACACAGATAATGTGGACTACAATACATGCTACAAAGCCTACAATGAAACAGTGCCACAGTGTGCCATACTGATACCACACGGGCCCAGTTAGGGCCCGGTTCTGTAGTAGGCACGGTTTAGGCCTAGGGACCGGGTCACTACGGTCACAGCTAGGTCCAGGTAGGCCTAAGAACCGTCGGTTCAGTTTAGGGTCCGGTAGGCCTCGTTTAGACCCCACCAGACCCAACGGCTAGTTGTTTAGGCCAGGTACCGGTCCATCGGTAGGCCCAGCCGGCGGCACAGTTTTGGGTGCCACATTTCAGCTTCAAATCGGATCTGAACCGTTGGGGGCCCGATCAACGGTCCAGACCCGAAGGCACTCAGTACGACTGAGGCCGACCAAGCACTATATCAGCTGGGTAGCAGCCTCAGTCGGTAGGTTAGTGGTGTGGAGGTTAAGTCCTCAGGATTGGCACAGCGCTTCGAGCGTTAGTAGGACTAGCGCAGCGTATCAGCGTTAGCAGGGCAGCGAGGAGAGAACAAGCGCAGCGGCAAGGGAAATTAGCGTAGCAGCTGGAGCAGCACCAGCCACCAGCCCAGCCCGCGGCCCAGCGCTAGCCTAGCAGCGCCATAGCTACCTCTCTCTCTCTCTCCCCTCCTACCCTCTAAATCTAAGTCTACTCTACTGGACCACTATGAGTGTGAAGGATGGTGACGAGTTCTGATGACAGTTGAGATAGTAACATTGAGACATTGGTTGAGGACTACTTCTGGGCTACGTGGCACCCAGGCTGCGGCCGAGGAGGCCGGCTGCAGGCCCGCGGCCCAGGCCGCACGGCCGAGTTTCCACGCGGCCGTGCCACGGCCAGGCGGCGCCGCGCACAGGAAAACAGCGCACGCGCGCGGCCTGCGCACGTCGGCCGCTAACGGCCTGCATTACAAAAAAATAAAAAATTTTGAAAATTTGGGGGGGTTGTTTTTGGTAAGTAGCAAAACAAAAATTAAAATAGAAAAAAAAAAATCATTTATTGATTGTTTTTTTTTTA